CAATAGCACACAGATAATGATCAGATTCATCGTCAAAGGGTTTCTCGGATTCAGACTGTGGACAAAGTCGTGACAGTATATCTGAAATATTGCTTGAGCCTGGAATGTGTTTTATACGGAAATTATACGGTTGCAAGCGTAACGCCCAGCCTTCTGCTCTAGAGCAAGCACGCTTGCTATCCCGAAGTTTACCACCATAAATGTATTCCAGAGTCTTGTGATCGGTAGATATAGTGAATTCCGTGCCAAACAAGTAGGGGTAAAATTTCTCCACAGCCCAGACGACTGCAAGAGCTTCACGCTGTGTTTGGGGATAGATTCTTTCCGCTTTCGTTAAACCCTTCGATGCAAAACTTTTTATTCGCGGCGTGTTGAAGCTGTCTCTTTGAGTGAGAACGGCACCCAGGCCTACTGGGGACGCATCAACGTATAGTTCGGTTTCGTCATTTGGATCGAAAAATCCTAATCTGTGAACAGTGCCCGACAATTCGTTTCGGAGGTCATCAAACGCTCTTTGTTGGTCCTCGCCGAAATTATCTACATCCCCTCTCATGAACTGCCGTAAAGGTTCTGTTCTGGTAGACAGATGAGGAATGAACTGTCCGACAAAGTTAATGAGACCCAAGAAACTACGAACTTCTTCTCTTGTTTCTGGTTGTCTGAAACCCTGGATAGCTGAAATCTTATCATCCGATGGGCTTATCCCAGCTGCACTGACGTTGTATCCCAAGATCTCAAGCTGCTTTACGCCGATTGAACACTTCTCCTTATTGAGTGTTGCGTTGTTTTTCCGAAGGATCGATAATACTTCCTCTAACCTAGCATCATGTTGCTCCTTGGTTTCCCCTGCCACCACTATGTCATCGAAGTTCACAATAACACCTCCTCCATAGCGGTTGGAATTCTCAAATATGCCAGTTTCTTAGGAGGGACAGTTTTGTCGATTGACAACTTTATTAGGATGTTTGAAAATTTTGGGAAAGCTTCGCTTTTTAGGTCGATGTTATTAACACCGAGCCCAACCTTCAGAACCTTAAGGTCTTCAGCTGTTCTTTTACTCAACAGCGACTTCCTTGCTCCCTGAATAACAAAAAACTCTGCGTATGCTTTAGGCTTGGTGTCATTCACCGATATCCATGCCTCAAAGATCATCAAGACTTCAAGTGATTCTTGACTAGCATATGCGGAAACACGCCTGTCGCAATGAAACTTTTTTTTTGTAAAGTGCGGTTTCATTCTTGGCAAGCGTTTTCCAAACCTGGTCGGTAACCGTGTTAATCGCTGCCCCGGAGTCTATTAAAAATTCTACCGGATGACAATCGATCTTGCAAGTAATCACCCCACTGTTGCTAATGTCGGCCTCACGTGTATCATCCGATCCAGCATAGCGAATCCGTTCCTCCTTAGGGTGAGCTTCCTCTCGGATGGAATTTGCCTCCGATGAGCGCTTCCAAGAACGAGGTTTGATCGGTCCACTCCGGTTAACTTGACCCGACGTTTGACATTTCCTTGCGAAGTGGCCAATACGACCACAATTGTTGCACCGCGCATTACGTGCAAAGCAATCACGGGAGTCCTTACGGTGTTTCCATGATCCACATCGGTCGCACTCGATACCTGGACGCCTATTCTTCATCAATGATCTTCCACTGTAGAACGTGGACCTTCCACTAGTGCTTGCCTCCTGCTTCACATAAGCAATCGAGGTAGCATTGGAGTCTATTCCAAAAGGGTGTAGCTTTCCTTTCTGCTTGGTTAAAATCTCTCGATTGACCGCGTAGTTTGTGAGTTCATCTAGGTTCATGACATTTTCGAGACCTTTGTCTCTGCTGCAAAATTTCCTTCTCTTCACGGTTCTGAAAATCGCATCTGGCTGCTTGCGTTCTCAGTTTCAAAATAAATTGGTTGAACGGTTCATCAGCTGTTTGTTTCAACGAACGAAACACTTCAAGCTCAACACGTTCGTTACGCTTTCCGATAAAGAAGTTATTCAAGCGCTTAATAGCGTTGTCGTATTCGGGTATCTCCTGTGGCACTAGCGGAATTTTTACCGGTTCTGGGTGGATCTCATCCGCCACTGGTCTCAAATTGTAGTAAATTCTTTGGAGACCTCGTCCACCTCGGGCAAATATTAACACCAGCTTCTCATGTTGGGAATCAATATCTTTCAACTCCAGGATTAGTTCAAATGCCCTCAGCCATTCCTCCCACTCTCGACGTAAATCAGAAGCATCAACTGAATCGTTGAACGATTCTAGTGGCCACTGTTTCTCAGCATCCATCATATTTCGCACCGGCTGCGCCAATTGTAGAATCTGCCGGGGGTCCGGGGGGAGGCGGAATTATCACGTTCTTTTCGGAATTTACGAAATCACTTTACACTAAATATTTTCGGCCTCAAGCTTTAGTTTTATTTGACTTTCTTTCACAAAGGTTCATACGCAACTGCCGAGTACCGTCTAGAACGTGTAACGCGCGCTGCTTGGTTTTAGTAGCTTATTGAACGATAGTCATGAGAAAGTCGAATCTCTCGTTCCGTTTTTGACAACAACAAAAAGTGAGAGTGGGATGCAAAACTCAAATTACCCAAAATCAAGTAAAAAGAAAATAAATTAAGGGTAATTTTTTTTTCTCTGTGATTGTTATCTCTAAATTGACGAAAATCCATATGGGATAGATGTGCGATTCTAGGCAGTTTACATGTAGTAAACAAATCCATTTAAAGACGGCACGTTTTCGGACAAACGAACGGTACACAGTTACAGTTTGAGATTTATATGCATAATTTATTTTAATACATTCGAGAAAAAGAATTCCATACATTAACACGGGGTTTGACTTTATTGAATTACCGTTTGTTTTCAGATATAGCTGGAAAATGGCACCCTAGCCTGGCCAGTGGTCTACCATTGTTGTTTTTGTGATGTTTTGGTTTCTCGCAAATTGGATTTTATTTTTGATCTTCCATTCCGTTAGTTTTTAGCTCTACACACAAATATAACTTCATTTTCGCTTCATAATTGGATTTCGTGTTTCATTGTTTTTGCTGTAGAAAAATGAGTGTTTTAGGTTTCGAATATTGTTGTAATTGATTTTATTTCCCGATAAATTAGAATGTAGCTTTTGTTTACTTTTCACTTTCGTATCAATAGACATCGAAGCAACGGTATTTCCTTTTATTGAGAAAAGCGTTTTATTATTGTTAGGTAGCGGAGATTGTTTAGATAAACATATAAATACGGTTAAGAAAGGGGTGGCTGGGGTTTTGAGGGGCTTCAGGAGCTTCACAAAAAAACAATCGAGATGGTCGATCATATTGATTTGACCTCGAGAAGATGCTCCATACTGGGGGAATATTCAAGTGGGAAAAGTTTTAGTACCAATGATTTCCATTTTCATTAAATATGCTTCTAAAACACTTACGCATTTGCTCTTTCCGGCGTGCATACCTTTAGAGTACAGTCGCACTTGCTTAGCTTCGGACATTTTTTGAATTTGTACAAACTAACGCGCACACTCACTCACACTAACATACAACTTGTCTAATAGTCGTTCATATACATACGTTTTAGACAGAAAATGACTGAAAACCGCCTTCTGATATATACTTTTGTAATTTCGCTTTAGTTGCTACTTTCCATTAAAATCCTAATATTTTCCCTCCTCAATGTATATCCACTACTTACAATTATACAGACACAAATCTTGCTTATTGTTTGCTTGTATTTCATTCTTTCATTTCACAATTGTTGTGTTGTTCTCGTCGATTTCCTTGCTTTTCTTATACTGATGACGCAGTAGACTTCACTTTCCACTCAATTAATTGTGTATCTCGGTATGTTATACATGTAGCTGCTTGTAGTCATTCTCTATGTTTGTTTTGTTTTTACTAAAATGCACGCACACTTGCTTGGGTAGGATAAGTTCTATTTGTAATTTGTGTAGGTATTCCAATCTATTTTCATTTCTGCCGTATTATTTTTTTTCTCAAAATGGAACAAAAATAAATAGTTGTTTATTGGATATTCAACTTACATTAACTAGTTAGGATTTGATAACTTTAATCGTAGATAGCACTTGCACTAGTTTTAAATTTTATGTTGTCTATAGTCTTGAATTTGGCCTGATGGAAGGTCAAGAAGAGCCTTTTAGCTTGGAATTGATGAAATGTGCCTTCAAAACCAAAAAGTTAGGCCAAATTTCTCAAGTTCCAACCAGGCCACTCCCGACTTTCCAAAAGTCACTCACCAAAGATTGATTGCATACAGTGTGTTTAGAAAAATGAAGTGGTTCATCATAAATGTTTCATTCAACCCTCTAGAGGGTATCATCTAGTGCAATAACCTTTCCAGAATGGTGACTGTTTCAGATTTTAGTAATTTCGGGAAAGTTCAGTCTATTTGACTGGATTGAATGGAGAAGAGATAAAAAAGTATGTTCGAGATATTAGAACTGTATGTAGTCGTGCAATTCAAGTTCACTTAATGTGTATATTGTTGGGTGTTGATTAGAAAGAACATGATTTCGATTACCAAGTAATGAAAAAAAATGCAGATATCGATCATTAGCATTAACCTGCTCTCGGTTGAGCTCACAATAATACAAGAATGTATAAAAATTACAATAATTATAATTGTATGTGGCAAGTATCACAATCTTTATTATCAGTTTAAATAAATTAATGTTAATAATAGTAATAATAATATACGATTTTGTTTCCCAACTCGTCCCTCGGCACTCCTGAACCAACCGCTAATGTATATTTATTCTTATTTGTTTACTGCGCACTTCCTAGTAAGATGCTACTATTGTTTTATTCTGCAAACAAGATTGTTAGTAAGCGTTACCCAAATGGGTTTCGCTTACTATGTTCCTCTATTTTATTTTTACTCATTGTATTGATTCATACGTTTGTGTGTGTTTGTGTTTGAGTCCTGAGTTTTCTGCAATTTTATTCTTCATGTTAATTTGTATGCAATTTCATTCCGTTATTCCTCTCCCTTCTTCTTCTGACCTACGTAGCTCGCTCAGTCATTTAGTGTTAATAGCGTTCATAACATGAAACAACAAATAATCGGCCCTCGTATATTGTTGTTTTGTTATATATATATATATATATGTATTCCCACAACTTACAACTTACATAACTCTATACTGTGTATGGATCCTTATAGAACTAGCGACTTTCTGCCCTTACAACACTTGCTAGAAGCTCCGATCACTCGTCTTTCCGTAAACCGTCTTTGGTTGGCATACATGTAAAGAAATGTGAGAAGAAGAAATATCAACCCGAATGGAGTAAACTATATACTGTAATAATTACAGCCCCAATCACTAGATCGAGCAGTTTTGAGACGACTTTCAGCAGCATATTTGAGGAATAATGGGGCAATAAGTTGCTGGGATGTAATGGAAAGCATAAAGATCAAAATATAGCTTCATGATTATAGTTGAATGATAGGAAACCCTTTTTCAAAATTCTCGATTTATTTGACTAATAAATCACTTCATTCGAGACGTTTAGTAAGACATTTACTATCACTTAAACTAAGAAATAAAACGATATTTTGAGACTGATTCATCTAGAACACTGACTACATAAAGACCATTCGCAGAAAATCGTAATGTTTGTTGAAATATATTCAAAATTGCTGATAGAAAGTCCAGTTGTTTCCAGTGATCTCGGTTAATAGTTAATAGTGTTCGCGCCAGCGAATAGTATCGAATTATTTTCCGCGTCGAACAAATCAGAGTGTTCACCTAATTCTATTCCATCCAACCCCCTGCAATGCGATCCAGTTCTTGAAACTGCCGAAAACATCACCAGCGCTAATGATTCATAACATATTTAAGCTCCAACCATGTAACATTAAATGCAAGCTGCTAGAGCTTGGGAAGAACGAATCTGCGTCTGAGCATCTATCTAATGCAAGCAACTAACACATCGAAACAATGAACCATCGTGTGGATCGTTCCAACGTATGGTTTTTGCAAACTGCCAACGATCAACAATTTAAGTTGGCGATTTCTGCAATGGATTACCGAATTGAGCTCAAAGGTATTTTCATACTTCAGGGATTAATGGAACGCAGCATCACAAAAATCTCAAAACACCTCCAACAAGCAATTCCTCTTGCACGACTGCAAACATACGTCGACATGATCCACAATGCATACCGTCAGTGGCAGGAAACAAACAGAAAGATTGTACTAGTGTTATCAACAATTAGTTCCAAGGAAAGTAGTTTCCCTGTATTTTGTATTGACAACCATGAAGCTTCATCGGCAGCATAAACTGTAACCCGCCAGCCTGTCGAGCTTTCCGTTCACAACATGGGTGGTTTAAGCGCCACTCCCAAAGGGAGACCACCCAGCAGATTGCAGGATTGCCCGGCCTGAGACCTTCCTGAGGATCGGGTCGATGTTTCCCGGATACGGGGAGAATGCTGACTGGCTGTGGGAAAGATTCGCCCGAGAAGATTTCCCGCGAAGTCCCTAAAAATTACAGGTGCACAAGAACAACAATTTGTCCAGAACAGAAGTCACGTGAGCGGGGTTTACATCACGGGCCTAACCAGAACGATCTATCGTACCAACTGTTAAGATTCGAGAGACGCCAGAGATCAGAATCGGGCTGATCATCCCAGTAAACTACCAACGCGAACGGAACGACATGGAAACCCCCGAAAACGTTAAAACCTGAGAGCTTTTCCTAGTACGCTATCATAAGAAAACCATGAACACCCAATCAACGGTATTTATTTAGGGGAACATCACAATTGTTGCCCTTTACCTAAGCTCATCTCGACACCAAAGTTCCACTCGAATAAGCTTTTCCGATCGGTACATTCGTTTGTGTATTGTTTGCTCTCTACATGTCTGCTTGCCTAGGCCTTTATCTTCCCTTCCCTTTCCTCTCCTCCTTCCTCTCCTCTTTCCTATCCTTTAGTGTGCACTACCAATGCTATATCCCAGACGTGTGTTCAGCGTGTGTCCTCCTAACCATTCATGTTCTTCGGGTGCTTCGGGTTTTCACTGGTTAACCCATTCAGTGAGCCTCTCACGGACTTTCGTTCGGTCTCATGCGCATGGACGATACAATGAGAAATGGGTTACATGCATGTACTCACGTGAGAAATGGGTTACATGCATGTACTCACGATTGACTACCTAGGGTTTATGTCGCTACAGCTTGATGAGGAGACGGCGGCGCGCGGTTGACTCACTCACTCACTTACGATTGACTACCTAGGGTTTATGTCGCTACAGCTTGATGAGGAGACGGCGGCGCGCGGTACCGAAGCTGCGTACGCACTACTTCGGCCCAGAAACTATCGCGGATGCGATCATACGATGCTGATTGGTCTCACTCACCGGAAGCGCGGGCTTACGCGGGAACGCGGCACGTGCATTCGTTCGTCCGTACCCACGACCACGTGTTGCGTTGGTTGTTCGGTGTTCCGACAGATACCGATGACGGTTTCGTTTGGCCTGCCTGTCCAGGTCACATAGATTAACGGACGCGACCTCTTCCGACCACGTGTGCCTCGGGGATACTCCGAAGTCGACAGGTGGGGTCAAAAGCGGTTTCTCACGAAAGGTGTTGTGTCGGCAAATGGCTTTCGCTGCCACGAACCTCATGAACTTCTTAATCCACACACTTTGCCGCCCACTGCACTGCACTAGCTAGAGTTTGCCTAACTTGTCTCTGATTAAACACACAACGACACGATAAGAAAACTGACCATTCTTGCCTCTTTCACAAGTCGATTCGAATTCAACGATTCCAGCTAGGACATTCCTCAGTTAGCCGCTAGTACATAACTTTGCCCCGGAATCGTGGAATTGAACGAAGTCCAATTTCACGAACGCCAAAATTCTCGCAATTGTGCACCTGATTGTTAGGGCTTCGCAGTATCTCTTTCCAACGAGCTGTTCAAGCATCCAGACAATTTCTCTCCGAAATTCAGGGGAAGGGCGCAAAGCCGAACGAAAAAAAAGGTCAACGCATTTTAAATGGAAATTTGACGGGTCGATGTCCGCTTCTCGACGTGGTCGTGTCGGTACGCTCAACAGGCAGTTACATTTTATTTTGCGCTTGCATCTGAACGCAGGGAACTCATTTTGTATGACAAGTGTAACTCAACATGAGTGGGTATTCTTTGGCGGTGAACACATTTATGAATTTAATTGAAAAAACGAAACTTCATGCAATTTGATTAAATGAGTATATTGTATAAATATGAATTCTGAACTAACTAAATAAATAACTATCTATATGGAAAGCGTACTTGTTACAAAACAATGCACCACAACAGAAAGGATATCTAAAACAGGCATAACAACAAATGCCACACTACTTGTTGAAGCAGTCTTCGAACATCCGGACCAAATGAAAGAGAGAATCGTTAAGAGTAGGAAGCAATCTGGTCAGGTCGATCATGTGGCAACTCACCTAATTCCAGCAAGGTAAGAAAGCTTCTAGGAAAATATCAAACCAAGGCGGCCAATTTGGAGCCCATTTTAAAATCATCTGAGGAACAACCGAGGACAGATACAAACCTGTTAAAAATCGTTCCACATTACCGTAATGCACCGAAATCCGGACACTTAGTCCAAAAATTCGGACACTTTAAAATGTTGATTTATAAGCCCAAATACGATTCAAATGCCACGAAAATTTTATTAGGATCCTATGGTGTTGTCCATGTTCATCTAACATAATTATTGTGTTGCCAAGTGTCATATTTCATTGAAAATGGAACGGATTAAAAGACTGTCCGGTATTCGGAGAATTACGGTATCCGGTGAGGATTTCTCCAGTGGAGCAAGTTCAATTTGTCTCAAAGATGTGCAGTCCTATGAAATTTACATCTTCACCAAAGATTCCATTGAGAGATCCATTCGATAGCGCCAGCCTGATCATTTCTTCAAGGGATTCGTTGCATATACCTCCAAAGGATCAAGAAATTATGCCGCATACCGAAGTTGACGGTAAACCTAGTGCCATAACATCCATGCCTGATCAGCAAGAAACAATCTTAATCCCGACACCAACGAAACCTAGCCAGTATACCAAAATGAAGCTCGATCCGAGGGACGTTGTCCATGTTCCAAGGTCTACAGAGCTTACAACCAGAAAACTAAAGCTAACCACCGTGAAGAAGTTCGAATCAAAAGATTTCCGTATTCCAATTTGCAAGCTGTTTAATCCTTTCGAAACGATCAAGGCAAATCCGAAGCAATTTAAAGACGATCAAGCCAACGAACCGAAGTCCGTCGCAGCTTGTGAAATGCCGCATTCAATCGTGACGCCGATCGGAATCTGACCGGTCTCCAATGATATGCCGATGTCAGCCGGAAACCGTCTGGCGTTCAATTCATTCTTGATGTCAACTGAAATTCACTCAGTTACCAAGCCAGCACCAAAGCCGAAGGAGCCATCACCACAGGATCTTTTCATGGGACATCGTGCCCGCGGTACCAGGCCGAGGTGCGTGTATTGTGCACTCTCGCCTCGCAGTTATCCCAGAGAATACGTTCACCGCGTATCATACGACCCAGATGATCATCCAATGTGACGGGGGCGACCCCGACGTAGCGGTTAGCATCCATACCTCTCGTCAAAGCCACGAGTTTAAATCTCAACCCCGGACAAGTCACGAATGACCCAAGATCGTTAAAGCATCTGGTACTCTCTTCGGTCCCAAGCTAATCGATTCACCCCTCGAAACATAGGAAATTCCACTAACCCCTCATTTTATCTGTCAAACTTTCATAGCAAATCAAAAAAACATTCTAGAATTTTGACTAGAATGGGGTACGTTAATCGATTTGCTTGGGACCAATAGGCTAGTCAAGTAGTGAGCCAATTCCAAATCGATAGTTTCGTATTGATTGTTGATGGAACTCTGAACTAAGCTGTCTACTATACGATAATAATTATTCTTTTCCATCTGCACAACATTGCTGAAGACAGAAACCTTCTGTCTCTAGTTGATTTGTCAAGGTTTCGTAGCGTTGTTAGGAGCGATGATTATATCGTGAGTGTGGGATAACCAACAATCAATACGAAACTATCGATTTGAAATTGGCTCACTACTTGACTAGCCTATTGGTCCCAAGCAAACGATTAACGTATCCCATTCTAGTCGGCATTCTAGTACTACACTATGTTGATTTTTTGCAAATTTTGTTATGCTTCATTTTGGACCGAACGTTCTATAATGCTGCATTGGAACTTCATTCATAGTTTCATTAGTGAATTAGCATTGAAAACATGTTAATTTTCAAAATCATAGGAGTTGGCACTTTTGCCCCACCCGACCTTAGTTGGGTTGAAGAAGAAGTCAAATAAAGGTCCCCGAACTTGTATGAAGATCCTTGAAATTAAACAAAGTTTCCTTAACTTTTATGAAGTTCCCACTTCTTCAAAATTTTCCAGCATTTTTACAAAGTTCTCTAAATCTCTACAAAGTTTTCTTGTATTTCTACGATGCCCCTGAAGTTAAAGATCAATCTCTGAACGTCAATGAAGTTCTCCGAATTTCTACAAAATTAACTAAATTTTTATAAAGTTTGATGAATCTGAACTTCTACAAAATTATTTGCCCTTCGACGAAGCTCACTGATGTTCGACGAAGTTTGCTGAGCTTCTATCAAATTCACTGAGCTTCTAGTTAGTTAGTTTGATTTAGAAAATTGAATTACTTCCCGGCTCTCTCGGTTTGCCCGGTTCAGTGGTCACCCTGATACACACGGATATTGAAAAATAATAATAAAATAATATGATAATTTATGCAATATTAAAAACCTTTTAAAAATTTGGACAAATCTTTTTTTAAGGTTAAATTGGAGCGAATACAAATTTAATCTTATCAATGTCGATATTTGATCTCAGATTCAAGGACTGAATTCGGTATAAATTTCAGATTTTTTTCCACTCGAAAAAGAGAGGTAAAGGCGGGTTGTGTTTAGTTTGACGGAAATTCAATTTAGTTTTCCAATTTAATAGGAATTACAAATTGTCCTCCAAACAAACGCAAATGCAAATGGTCAACAAAACACAAAACTACTTACACGCCACGTTACTTACACCTCTGGAACTGCTGGTAGTACGATCCTCCGCCTCCTCTGCCCCCACCACCGCCGGCTCCGCCACCACTGACGGGTGGTGGTGAAGTTGGCGATTCGTCTGTGCTGCCACCCCGTGCAATGTTCCGCTCATCGAAATGCACCACTGTATTCCGTTCGCGATGTTCCCATCGCTCGTCCTGTTCCGATTCCGGATCGAAAACCAATGATCTCGGTGAGGTAGGTTCCCGGAATTTACCACCCTTCTTCTTATCGCCACCACCACCGCCCTCATAGTCACTCCCACCGCTTAGTATCCGATTGCCATCGGATGTTGTGTTGCTCATATCCAGCAGCAGTTTGGATACCTTCTTGCACTTGTTCATGTGCTTCTCGGCACGAGCCTTCTCTGTGTACGTCTTGAAGCATTTGTGACATTTGAACTTCTTCTCTACGATCTTCTTCTCCTTCATTGGTTTCAAGTTCTTCATGTGCTCAAATAGATGCTTCTTCAGTTCCTTCTTCAGCTGAAAGGGTTTCTTGCAAAACAGACATATCGTATAACGAACGGTAACATCCAACCCGGAACTGGCTTGGTCGTCGGCTGATTCGCCGGCTCGGTTAACCACTTCAATGTTTTCACATGCGTCCAGTTCCTCCAGGGACTCGGAATCCGAATCACTTTCCTGATCGAGGGCTTCTAGCTGTCGATCAATATCCTCAATACTACCTTGATACTGATGATGATGGTGGTGGTGATGATGACCAAGGGCAGCAGCGGCCGCTGCTGCACCCGTGCTACCAGCAGCAGCACCGCGAGATTCAATGGGCTCGCTCATTCCGCTGGAATCGTTGCCTCGGTTGGCAGTTACGAGTGCTGATTGCGACACGGAGAGATTCTGCAAGTGATAAAGATATTTTTTGAGTCAGTTGGATTAATTAGATATTGCTGAATTAGTTCATTAAAAAAATTGAAAGTGGATTTTAAAACAAGTTTTGACAGCTTAAGTCGCCGTTGTCTAATGAGCAGCGAACTGCAGGAATGCACTATACAATGTACAGTTTTGCAAACAATGCAACCATTGTTATACAAGAGGTTCGGAAGGTAAAGTAAACCCCGGAACAAATGAAGTGGAATGTTTATCATTTTGTCAAACATTTCCGCGCAAAATGATGTCATCTCACTTTGGGGCACGCACGATTCTTTCAGTACATCGCAGCCAGCAGAACCGACAGTAGAATAATTATTTCAAATACACTCTTCGATTCTTTAAATACGATTCATTCTGGTTTCCATAACATCAAGTATCATTTGTCATTCAAACCTAAAAGTGCGCGCTATTCGGAGTACTACCAAGGAAATGGTCAACATATGAGTAGAGCCACAACTTATCATGCAGCACATCAAATTACATGCTAATTCAAATAAAAGATCAATGGCATCCATATTGAGTGTCTTGGACATGTCCCGGAAACCGCCAGGGAACTGGCCAGAATCAGCTTTCAGCAATTTTTTGAAAGACTGTGAGTATATAGATTTTTTAAATCTTGGCTAGTGGTTGAACAACTATTTATTGATTTATTAGTATAACCAACAATCACTAACGATTTTAAATTGGCTCACTACTTGACTAGCCTATTGGTCCCAAGCAAATCGATTAACGGACCCCATTCTAGTATAAATTCCGGTAAAAAAAAAATAGATAAAATTAGGGGTTCGTAGATTTTCATATGTTTCGAGGGGTGCACCGATTAGCTTGGGATCGAAGGTAGTACCAGAGCTGAGCCAAAAAGTTGAGCTAGTTTCTTCGGGACCTTCTGGTCTTAGAGTTACCTCAATGGTATAACTTTGTTCTTTATTGGCAGAGTATGTATGAAGTTTGAGTAACTTCAGTAAAACGGTCGATTTTCAACTTTTTTCATAGTAGGCGGATTTTAGTAAAATTAGCGGCATTTTAAAGATCTCTATTATGACTACAGATTAGCAAAATTTCAATATATTTGGCTCATTGTATTTCAAGAAAATGTGTTTTATTTTTGTTAGGAAATCTAGTTTTTCTAAAATAGCTCTAACATCTTACACACTCATTCAAATAAGCCCAGTACTATACCGATAACCAATAAATGGTTGATGAGCCAGCAGCCGAAAATTTAGGAATCTATCTTTTTAACTTGTGTTCGTACAGGTGTTTTATTTCTGAAATACACGGACAGCTGTACGCTCAATTTTGAGATACGCTGTATATTTTTAATGCACTTAACACAATAGCATTGTTAGGGCAGGATCGTGGTTTTCCGGCGGGGTATTTCGGGATCACACACGAACACTAGTCGCCAAAAACGGAACGGCAAAGTTGGTGGAGTAGGCACTCAAGCTCACCAACACTTTATTTAATTTGAAAAATGATCTTTATTTCTTGGCGGTTGGAGCTTTACTATCTCATTTTTATTCCCTTACATTGTGTAACGTTGTGTTGGAAACATTTCATCTAAAAAACATGCATACAATATTTGCAGTGCAGTACTAGATCTGCCAGCACTGCCTGCCTTTATGGGCAATAATCAGTTGGAGAACTGTGATCTGGAAAAGATTGGATTGATCCATACCGATCGTGGAAAAATTATAAAAGTATTCTTTTGAACGATTGTTCCATATATAATATTAACTTTCGTTAACTTTTATAAAATTTTACGTCCTACAACTTTGCTCAATACAGTATTACAATTACAGTACAGTGTATCGCAGCGCCATCTTTGCAGCCAAAACTTGAACTATTTTTAATTCTAAGGATAGTTCAAAATAAATTCTTAATCAATTCTTTGGAGAGTTTCACGGGAATTCCGGGAAGAGCTCCAAGAGGACTTCGAAGATCATTCTAAGAAATTCCTGAAAAGAATTTCATGGACATATTTTCGGAAATTATGTTGGGTGGAACATCTAGAGAGATTTCAGGACAGTTTCTATGAGTAAGATTTCAGGACCATCCTGAAGTGAATGTCACTTCAACTCTAATTGGACTATTTTATACACTAAAGGGCGAACACGAAATTATTGCGACACATTCAACAGGGCATAACCATACAGGTAACTCTAAGACCACTGGGTCCCGAAGAAAATCATTATTATTTTTGGCTCACTCAGTACCAGAACAACGGTCCCAAGCAGTCCCAAGCTATTTCACTCACCCCTGCATGTTCTGCATGAATCCACACACCCCTGATGTTATCTGTCAAACTTTCATAGCGAATCAAAACAAACATAGTGTAGTAATAGAATTTCAACTAGAATAGGGTACTATAATCGTTTGCTTGGGACCAATAGGCTACTAAAGTGGTGAGCCAATTTAAAATCGTTAGTTTCGTATTGATTGTTGACATAACTTTTTTACCATTGGGTAAAAATCAACCAAATTTTGCACACTTTCTCATTGATGTGTATTGTGTACATGCTGTCAAACTCGAAGTCGTGTTTTTCGATTCAACGAAAATGGAGGTGAACCAACGCGAGCTGAGAGAACAAATTCTTTCCAAACACCTGGAATTTCCTGACCTGTCGCACCGGCAGTTGGGAAAAATGTTGAACATTCACCATTCAACCGTCTCCAGAGTGTTGAAGCGGTTCCAAAGGAGCTGGAAGAAAACCGGGACCGGAGAACAAAAAGACGGAGGGAAAGGTGAAGCGGATGATTGAAGCAAATCCCAACGTCTCAAGCCGTGATTTGGCTAAAAAGATCGGCATGTCGCAGAGCTACGTCCAGAATGCAAAGAAGAGAGCTGGACTACATACATACAAGGTACAGAACTTCCCAAACCGCGATGAGCGGCAACAATCGACGGCTAAAACTCGGGCACGGAAGCTCTACGAGAAGATGCTGACAAAATATGGCTGCTGTGTGATGGACGACGAAACGTATATAAAAGCCGATTTTAAGCAAATTCCGGGGTTGGAGTTTTTCACCGGCAAGAGCAAGTTCGATGTGGACGACAAATGTAAGAAGAAGAAAATGTCGAAGTTCGCCTCCAAATATCTCATTTGGCAGGCCATCTGCTCTTGCGGGCTGAGGAGTGAGCCTTTCGTGACAAAGGACACAGTAAATGGCGAGATCTACAAATCTGAGTGCCTCGAGAAGCGCCTTTTGCCGTTCTTGCAGCAGCACGACGAAGCTCCGCTATTTTGGCCAGATTTGGCATCATGCCACTATTCTAAAAGTGTCCTGGAGTGGTATGAGGCCAATTCTGTCCATTTTGTTTCAAAGGACATGAATCCGCCAAACTGTCCGGAGCTGCGCCCGGTGGAGCAGTACTGGGCAATAATGAAGCGGGAACTTCGGAAGAGCAAGAAGACAGTCAAAGACGAGAAGGACATGTTAAGAAAATGGAAAATAAAACTGAGAAACTGGTACCGGATGACACTGTAAAGACTTTGATGGAGGGCATCAAGCGAAAATGCGTTCAATTTTACACTCAAGGCTCCATCGATTAACTTTTCTTTTGATTTTTGAAGTAAATATATGTATAAAACTACCCTAAAATTTTGGTTTGATTCTAAACATTATAAAAAAAATGGGCATGACATTTTCGGTGTCGCAATAATTTCGTGTTCGCCCTTTATTATGGAGACACATTTGAGTTATTTCTTATCGGAATTATAGAGAGTTTGTAGAGATTTGAAGGATCAATATGAATAATAGGATGATTATTGATCATTTTAGATGGTCAAGTTTTGAACCCACCACAGCATGCTTTTGGCGTTACTGTATATGGACGATCAAATGTAAAATACTGTGGTAGCCACAGCATAGTTCTGTCAAAACCAGGATTGCCAAAAGATCCATCAAGAGTCATCAATAAGCTGAACTCCAGCATATTTTGATGTTGATACATTTTGCTCTCACTGAGCTATGCTTGATGCTCAAGCTGGGCTCTTGCCAACCCGTTATGCTTATAGTCGCTATATTTATAGTCTGGCGGATAAAATCTCGGGAACCAATTGAGCTGTAAAATAGCAGAACCAACAACAGAAATGAGCACATCAGCTATTGCGAAGAAAACTTCGGAAACCCTTTTCTCGTGATTCAAGGCTCGCTCACGCAAACTAACACCATCTTTGGGTTGAGGAAAGTTTCCCCTATTCGATGATGCCGGTAATTTGCGTTCGATTTGTAAGGAAAGAATAATCAACGTTTTGTTTATAAAAGTTGATAGTACCTTTTCAATTGTTGGTCCAAAATATATTGAATTGGTTCCGCTTTTTGATAAATCGAAATTCTATCCACCAGACTATGTATATAGCGACTATAGTATTGCTGAGAGGGTGTAAATCAGTGCTGAGATTTGTCATTGTCATTGACAGACTTTCGCGCGATATTAACAAAATTGTCCGTCACATAGTCACTGACTTTCGTCAAAATCTCATTCATTTTTTCGTCAATGACAAAGATTCACCTGGTAACAAAAAGTGTAATTTAGTACATTCTGTGTCACATTATTGTTATCCAAGTAGCTCAGGACGTAGATACTTGTTCATTAAAATTTATCCATGTAGGGTAAACGCTCCTATAGTTGCGGTACGTTAGAAGCGTTAGGTTCCTATAGTTGTGTATGGAGACTCCATACACAACTATAGGAACCTAACGCTTCTAACGTACCGCAACTATAGGAGCGTTTCCCCTAATTGTTTTGCTCAAGTTATTTAATTTCGTTACAAATTTAGCTAATAAACAAATCTGCACATGTTCGTCACTGACACCATTGTCATTGACAATTGACATGGTTTGCCTTGACTATGACTGTTAGCTCAAATGAGTGACCAAAGCAGAATTGTCAATATCACCGTGTACTGTCGAGATTTTGCAGCACTGGTGTAAATCGACTCTGAATACCGAGCAGAAATTTTAAC